CACGCGAGTTTTGGATGCTGGAGGCCCAGTTATCAGTGGGACATCTTCCTTTCTCCCCAAATGGCTAGATCACAGGAGCCATGGAGCTGTCTGCCTCTTGAAGAAGGGCTGTTCTCCTCTTGGGATTTTGAGCATGCATGCACATGTGACTGGTGTGAGTTTTAAGCCTCCTAGTCTGGGACTTAAACCGAGGTCAGCCATATTGGAGTCTAGCGCCATCTGGTGGTCCCTAGTTGCTTTTTATTTTTAGAGATTCTTGTTACAGGGCACGTGTGTTTGCTGGAGAAACACACACACACATACAGAGAGAGAGAAAAAGAGATAGGGAGAGAGAGAGAGAGAGAGAGAGAGAGAGAGAGGAGAGAAAGTGAGAAATCACTGCCCAGGGAGTACGGCCACGCCACAATCCCTTCTCCTCCATTCTCCTCTCGGGATTTTGGGCATGCATGCACATGTGCCTGGCATGAGTTTTAAGTCATTGTGTCTGAGATTTGAACCATGATTAACTATGTCTAAGTCCAGTGACGTAACTATTATACCATCTGCTGGTATGATAAAGTACAGTTCTTTTGGGGTAGCATAGTGGTTAAGAGAGAGGAGTCAGATCCTACACATCTGACTGCAGTTTAAATCTCAGACTTGGTAGCTTGAAAAACATCCTGATGCCTGTGTGTGTGTACCCCAAATCTTGACAGGAGGAAGAAATGAATGAGAAGAGATTGCAATGTGACCACACCCTACCGAACAGTGCTTTTTCCCTTTCCCTCTCTCTATGCCTCTCTGTTTTTTTCTCTCTCTCTGGTTAGCACACATGTCCTTTGGCAATAAAAACAATATAGTTCTTTTAAAAATAAAAAGTTTATTTTTTTAAATAAGAAATTAGAAAACAGATATGTACGTTCTGGGTCTAATCAGAAAATGAGCCTGATATTTGGCATTTCATATTACATCTGCTTTCAATAGGGCTTGTGAGCTTGAACACCCACTGGTAGATTTCACATTAGTTTGAATTCTGAAAGTGAAGATTAAGAAAACTAACTTCATTTTTATGTGATGAGAGGATGGCGTGCCAAATTGTGATTTAAGCAATTATTCCTTTGTTATGTTAAATATGCTTTTCATGACTTCAGTATTTTAATCTGAAAATTAAGGGGGTGATTTAAAGTACCTGCTAGAGCTAACATTCTGGATTTTTTTTTTTAAATTCATGGTGTAAACTTTCTACTGAACTTAATGTCTTTTATATACATTTTTCCTACTCCTTGTTACTTCTTCCACTATTCACAATGAATTTATGTATTTCTCTTCCTAGGTCAAAGTGTATTTTGATTTTTCTTCTACTGTAAACTTCAGAACACCATTAGCCTCCATTTCCATTTACCTCCATTGGTAGAGATATTTTTATTAATATTTTTGAAAGAGAAAATCCATGATACGTAACTTTTATTTTTGAATTGTCCTAGAGAACTCTTTACTCGAGATTATGTTTCATAATGATTGCTGAAATGATCATAATTAACCAAAGCATCCAAGGCCAACGCATCAGTATAAAGTCTTTCTTCTTGCAAATGGTTTAGACAGTGATTAGGTTGAGGAAAAGATCAGGTGTGGTTGAGTTTTTCTTTTTTGGATTTCTCATTGGTACTGATTAGTTCACTACTCTTTAGGTGTCCAGAGGTAAAAGAAAATGTGCCTCTGACCTTATAGTAGGGAGCTATATTTGTATTTGTGTGATGAAAAGGAAAAGAAAATACAGTGACGAGTTTATTGTTTATTTTTATGTAATACATTTTTCTGAATTCTGTATCCAGGAGGGCATTACAATAAATTCACAAGTAGCAATAGGCCATTCCAGTGATAATATAAAAAGATGCAAATATTCTGAATGTTCACTTAGGGGAACTACCACATCTTTTTGTTCAGGATATGAAATGTGTTATAATGTTACTAGAGACATTTGGCTTCTAATCATATCTCTTAGCTCCTTGGATAGGTTGGCTAATAATCAATTAAAACACAATCTGGAAAATTCAAATTTTGAGTCTTGGAAATAAAAATAATCCCTATTTTCTCCCAAAGCATCCAAAACACTTTATTATATAGTTTTGTATGTAGCCCCAAGTGTTATTTATTTTATTCATTCTATAGTTTCTATTTAATTAATTAGTTAATGAATATTGAATGACTGTACATCTTTACAGCATGCAACATGGTTTTTCCTTAGCATGGATGCAGTGCTTGTCAATCAAGTCAAAGGTATTGCCATCTATTTTCTAACCAAGGAGCTCAATGATTAAGGAGCCTTACAAAATAATCTTATACCAAAGAAAATCAATAGAGTACAGTAAAGTTAAGATAAAAGAACATATACCCCTACTACTAAAAGAAGGGATCATGTTAAATAGCTAAATTTCATATTGTGTGTCTCATTTGTTCTTTGGATTTGTTCTCGTCTTGAGTTAGGTTGTTTTCTATTGCATTCTTATTCAAAATAATAATAGTTTTTTTGTTCTCGGACATATTCATAGAGTGGGGTGTTACTATCTAAGTATAAGGAACCTGAATCTTCTCTCTCCCTTCCATGGTAACTTCTGGCTTTGGAACTTCTTATTGGTTTATCATCCACATCCTGGCTATATCTTCCAATAACCCCTGATAAATTTGATCCTGACTCTTGCATTTGCTTTCCCCCACTCCATGTGCTTGTATTGCTTGATGAGTACCCATATCTATACTTTTCAATTTCTATAGGGTCTCGCCTATCAAGAAAGTGACCAAAAGTGGATTTTGGACTTCTACTGTCATTTGACTTCCCATAGCTATCAGTTGCTTGGCCATAGCTATATACTTGTCTTTCATTGGTGTTGAATGAAGATTGGCCGTGGGTATTTCTTGATTGTTCATGGCTTAATCCCTGTCTTGCTAAACTTGTGGTGAATTTTACCTGCCCATGAAGCGTTGTATCTTCTGAATGCTGCTGGATTGATCTATGCATACCTTTTTCATGAAACATTGCTTTTCCACTCCCAGTTTCTGATTGTTCATGAGTCTGTTTTCCGCAGTCTTCTGAACGATCTTCACGGGAACTGTAGGATACTGGACGTCTAGCTAAACTAGATTCTGAATGGTCATGAGCTGATTCAGAGTTAAGACTTGACTGGCTTTGAGTAGATACTGGCCTTACATCTGTGCTATGTCCAGGATCAACATGGGTATCACTTGACAGTTCAGAAGTTACCACTGAATGACCATGACTAAATCCAGTCTGATTGTGTAAGTCTATTGGCTGCCAATGACCTACCTCTGGCTGTCCATGATTTGAATCCTGTCTTTTTGTTGTTTCAGCTGGTTTGAGTCCTACATGGTCAGAACAAGAAAATGATTGCCCATATATAGAGTCAAGCTTACTTATAGTGCTATATGTAGACCTCAGAGGGCTAGAATTATAGTTACTTGATCTGCTGTCTCCAGAAGGTCCATATCCAGAGTGGCCATAGTCATATTCTGAACGTCCATAGCTGCCATGTTTCCAACCTTGGTTTGATCCATGTCTTGATCTTCTATTATTATGTGACTGAAAATGATGTGATTCAGACTGGCTATGACTTCTACTTGAGTCTTTCCTTATAGAATTTTTTCTAGAAGAATCTATTGACTGCCTATGAGTAGTTCCTTGTCTCCTCTGTGCAGTAGATCTTGTCTCTGCATATTGAGATCCAGCATGGCCTTGAGTGTGTCCTGACTGTCCGTGTGAGACTCCTGAGTGCTCTTCACTGTCACTGGTCTGGCTGTGACTAGATCCCCTTGTTCCTGTTGTAGTCGACCCTGTCCATGTGGGTTGTTCATGACCAGAGTGGCCATGTCTAGTGGTATCTCTTGACTGCCAATGAGTAGTACCTTGTCTCCCCTGTTCACTGGATCCTGTCTGTGCATGATGAGATCCAGCCTGACCATGAGTGTGTCCGGACTGACCATGTGAGACTCCTGAGTGCTCTTCACTGTCACTGGTCTGGCTGTGACTAGATCCCCTTGTTCCTGTTGTAGTCGACCCTGTCCATGTGGGTTGTTCATGACCAGAGTGGCCATGTCTAGTGGTATCTCTTGACTGCCAATGAGTAGTACCTTGTCTCCCCTGTTCACTGGATCCTGTCCGTGCATGATGAGATCCAGCCTGACCATGAGTGTGTCTGGACTGACCATGGGAGACTCCTGAGTGCTCTTCACTGTCACTGGTCTGGCTGTGACTAGATCCCCTTGTTCCTGTTGTAGTCGACCCTGTCCATGTGGGTTGTTCATGACCAGAGTGGCCATGTCTAGTGGTATCTCTTGACTGCCAATGAGTAGTACCTTGTCTCCCCTGTTCACTGGATCCTATCTGTGCGTGATGAGATCCAGCCTGACCATGAGTGTGTCCTGACTGTCCATGTGAGATTCCTGAGTGCTCTTCACTGTCACTGGTCTGGCTGTGACTAGATCCCCTTGTTCCTGTTGTAGTCGACCCTGTCCATGTGGGTTGTTCATGCCCAGAGTGGCCATGTCTAGTGGTATCTCTTGACTGCCAATGAGTAGTACCTTGTCTCCCCTGTTCACTGGATCCTATCTGTGCGTGATGAGATCCAGCCTGACCATGAGTGTGTCCTGACTGTCCATGTGAGATTCCTGAGTGCTCTTCACTGTCACTGGTCTGGCTGTGACTAGATCCCCTTGTTCCTGTTGTAGTCGACCCTGTCCATGTGGGTTGTTCATGCCCAGAGTGGCCATGTCTAGTGGTATCTCTTGACTGCCAATGAGTAGTACCTTGTCTCCCCTGTTCACTGGATCCTATCTGTGCGTGATGAGATCCAGCCTGACCATGAGTGTGTCCTGACTGTCCATGTGAGATTCCTGAGTGCTCTTCACTGTCACTGGTCTGGCTGTGACTAGATCCCCTTGTTCCTGTTGTAGTCGACCCTGTCCATGTGGGTTGTTCATGCCCAGAGTGGCCATGTCTAGTGGTATCTCTTGACTGCCAATGAGTAGTACCTTGTCTCCCCTGTTCACTGGATCCTATCTGTGCGTGATGAGATCCAGCCTGACCATGAGTGTGTCCTGACTGTCCATGTGAGATTCCTGAGTGCTCTTCACTGTCACTGGTCTGGCTGTGACTAGATCCCCTTGTTCCTGTTGTAGTCGACCCTGTCCATGTGGGTTGTTCATGCCCAGAGTGGCCATGTCTAGTGGTATCTCTTGACTGCCAATGAGTAGTACCTTGTCTCCCCTGTTCACTGGATCCTATCTGTGCGTGATGAGATCCAGCCTGACCATGAGTGTGTCCTGACTGTCCATGTGAGATTCCTGAGTGCTCTTCACTGTCACTGGTCTGGCTGTGACTAGATCCCCTTGTTCCTGTTGTAGTCGACCCTGTCCATGTGGGTTGTTCATGCCCAGAGTGGCCATGTCTAGTGGTATCTCTTGACTGCCAATGAGTAGTACCTTGTCTCCCCTGTTCACTGGATCCTATCTGTGCGTGATGAGATCCAGCCTGACCATGAGTGTGTCCTGACTGTCCATGTGAGATTCCTGAGTGCTCTTCACTGTCACTGGTCTGGCTGTGACTAGATCCCCTTGTTCCTGTTGTAGTCGACCCTGTCCATGTGGGTTGTTCATGCCCAGAGTGGCCATGTCTAGTGGTATCTCTTGACTGCCAATGAGTAGTACCTTGTCCCCCGTGTTCACTGGATCCTGTCTGTGCGTGATGAGATCCAGCCTGACCATGAATGTGT